AATTTACTTAGCAATACAGCCGCTTACGTCAAACTCGCATAGGTTTCCCAACAGATAGATTGGTTATTGTCATGTCATCCCAATAGGACCATGTCGATATACGTCCGCTGACAAATCTTTTTGCTTCCTTGTCTGTGTTGGACACACCAACATCCCTCTGCGTTATAGAACGCGGTTACCAGAAATGTTAAACTCTCCTAGAGGTTAATCAGTGAGAAAGGTCCGCCCACAAGCCATCATAAAGGACACCGCGAAACGCAAATCTGTGTTTTGCCGGTCAGTTCAGTTTGGATGGTAAGAACGCTAGAGAGGAATACGTACAGATATGAGGCTTTTAAAAGCTGGAATGATTGAGTTCATCATTTCTATTAGGAATGGTGATATAATAAGGCCGCATGTGTCAAAATCTTATACAGGGACCATTCGTGTAGACATTTTTATCTGCTAGGCCAAACTGCGTGCTCCAATCACCTTAGCAAAATCGGCTTCCGCGGATTCCGACTCTTAGTCACGACAAGGCAAACTCCAGCTGCCTACGGAAGGATTTAACACATTAACATAAACGCAGTTGTGACTGCCTTCAGACAACCAAGGAGCGTTTAAAAAGCAAGTCTAGGTAAAAACGCAGTGAATATGAACAACGCTGAAGTAAGCAGAACTGTGCTTTTAATCTCATGGTGTTAGATGGCAGTAAATTTATTTTTATTGCAAGAAGGTTTTGCAATGTGCACCGCCAGATTGTAATGGAGTTTACACCACTCCAATCTATACACAAATGGAATCCGAGTAAATGCAACTAGAAACATGCAGATCTAATCACCCCTGTAACAACGTGAACTCTCCTACTATTTCCTTATTTCAGGTGCAAAGTGACCAGTCAAAATCTGTCCGAGGTATTTTTCAACACCAGTCAAAATCCACAATCCATAGACGGTGGTTGATGTTTCCATTAGCCATGCTTAGCACTCAAGGCATCAAAACCAGATTGCACCACTTCGAGCTACATCTTTACAAAACAGCTGGAACAAGGTGTTTCATGAATTTCTTCTTAAGAAGCAGTTCATCAATCTGGATGCGGAATTTCAATCAGTCTCTCCGAAGTCCCGAAGGTTCAGCGCTAGAATGCTTTTCTAACCTAATTTCTGAGGTGCAACATCCGTTCCTAAATGCCACTAGGTATATAACTGCGTTTTCAGTCACCCACAATTTTCTGCGTCTTCAGGTATGGGAGATTCATGATTCATGATCCATCCTTGTTGGAAAAAAATATAGATATATTTTCCTCTAAGGGTATTTCGTGCATTGCTAAGTAAAATTTTATGACCTACATGCTTCTTTGAACAAAGAATTTCAGTTCAATGATTTATTCTTGGTTTGCGTGTGTTTGGTCAAACATTTCCGACGACCACTTTCGGCGACAAGCAAAAGATGGCAATTTGAAAATGACGAGGTTGATGAAATATAGTGCTTCAAAATTTTCACGAAATATACCATCTGTATGAAGTAGAGTGGAGTAGCGAATACCGCGTTAAAATGACAACAATCGGGCGTTTGTTTGGGATTTCAATGTCAACATTCTTCAATTTTTTAAGATTGATTTACAGCTCAGTTTTCTCGCGTATTCGGTGAACATACCAGAAGCTTCTTTAGGGTTGACCACATTTGTTGTCCAAAATACTGTAAACCAACTCCACGGAAAATTCAACCTTTTGCTTTTACTCTTTGTACTACCTATGTATGTACTACTATATATGTACTACTATGTATACATTATACGAACATCCACCATCATACACGAACATGACAAATCCGTGAAACGATGTTTGCATCAACATCAACAAATTTCACCTCAAAAGTATTTTTACCAAATTCCGTAATTGAGTTAGAAACAGAACTTCGGATCAACAAATGGTGCGCTTTAAATCGGACAAACTGTGACTAAAAGTACCCGCCGATAAAAGAGCAAAAGACCATGCAACCAATGGAGGTGATATGGTTGTGATTGGATGCGGCGGAGCAGTTGTGAACCGAGTGAGGTTTCAGTGAACGTATTGGGTCTACAAGCGTGGTTTTCTAGAAGTATTTTATGACAAATTAGATTTATCGGCCTCCAAAAGAGGATCGCCACACATAAAACTCGTAGGAGGGTTGAGTTTTGTCAGATTGTTGATAGGTTTCCTTGCAAGGTCAAACGATATGTTGATATCGCATACCCGGACCACAGATTTTGCTATTTATCGACATCATTATAGCTATTACTTTCATTTTTTTATTATTAACCTGTCTCAAATGCAGTAACTGGTACCAATTATCGTTTCTGATGAACTAAGGATGGCTTATTTGATTCGATTAACGACATGATTTACGCCATTCCTGAGGGAATGTTTTTATCATACCAGGCTAGCAAGAATCGTTCAGATGCAACTAACATTGGTGCATACATGCCATGCCAACGAAAGGAAGCATAGGGGTTGGGATTCTACCAAGTTGCTCAAGCTAAGTCAGAAGAAATCGAGATGCACAAGTTGGATTGAAACCACTAATTTGCGCTCTAACCACCGATCAATCATTCACCCATGAACGGTTAACACTAAAAAATTTCATGACGCCTTCCTTTCACATCAGCTAGTTGATTGTTGCTGGCCTACAAATTGTTTGTTCCCCCAAGACCCACTCTTGCATCTAAAGCGGTTGTAGAGTAAATGAAGCCGCTCAGTACTGTTCTTTATTCCCTTCAACACGCAATGTGAACAAAGGAGCCAATCCTGTGATAGGCTGAAAAGAATAGGTCAGGCCAATCGACACACAGGCTTTTACTAGCTATTAACAAACTGTCCGCTCCAAAACATTCCGCTCAATAAATACTCTTTCCGTAAACAACCATCTATTTTGTTGTACTGCTTTCAAAATGAGAAGCATCACGATTTTTTTGTTTCTGCGCCATTTTTCTCTATGGTGAGTTAAGTTACCCTTAATCTTCGTCTATCAAACTTCTTTTGGAGATTTTGCATGCGTTCATATCAGCTTCTTGATTATTAAAAAACCTCCACCTTGCCATGTATTTTATTTTTACCGTGCCACGTCCGTCTGCTTGTTTTTTAGATGCGCCCCAATTATGATTCTCAGTGGGCTGAAGTAGGGAACTAAATCCTTAAACTGTGTGAATTTACGCGTAAAACTAACGAGGCAATGATTTTAAAAAAGCAAAATCTCATCATTTTTAACCTCATCAGTTGAACCATATTTTCCGATCCTTAAGTGACGTGCACTCGTTTAGATTTTGAAACAAATGAAATTGTTTTCATAAACGAAAATGCTCACACGTTTGCTGAAACCTATTTGACAGCACAGGAACAGTGAACAAATGAGTATATTTGTCGAAGTCCGTCCAATTTGGTTTCATATAAAACATCAAGTTGACGAAAACCAGGGGAATATGCCCACTTTATGTGACCTCAGTAGGTGCAAAACCTGTCGTGTGCTGCCAACTTGATTTCAGCGAGCTTGTGAGTAGTTTCCTATAAGTACATGTACCGCGATACCTCGAACATCGTAGCAAAAGTAGTCACATCATATTTGTCACATCTACCCTTAATCATGTAGAAAATTCCTGCAATTGCATTTGCGTCACATCATTACCGCGCATTTAGCTGTGATGGTGAGCTTATGAGCCACGGATATTCTAAAGCTGAGGAAGAGACATATGAATCACGCTTTCTTGCAGAGTGATTACTAAACTTCATACATGTATTGCTGGGCACATCTCAGAAGAGAGATATAGCTGTGTTCCAGATGAGTCTCTCGAATGACCAAATTAGCTTGTAAATTAGTGTATTTCGCTAGTTTCGTGCAATTTGGTTTCAAGCCAAACATGAGGTTGACGGAAACTCAGGGACCGCGCCTACCTGATAAGCTCCAAGAAAGGCGAAACCGGTCGCGGGTGTCGATGAATTTTCAGCCACATTATGAGTAGTGCATTACAAGTATTTTAAAGCATGTTGAATGCAATAAAACCAAAATTTGTGTGTCCTCACTTGCGTCGTTGTTCCGCCGTCCATCGATTTTTAGCTGAGGCCGTCACACGTAAGTGAAATTCCCAAAAATCCTTTGATTTGTTGTGTGCTCGTGCATCCACGGCTTGGAGGTTTACCTTGAAATGTACGGGACTTTTGGCAAGAGCAAAGATTTCGCGGCCAAGATCATCGAAATATCCACAGGGTAGCAGTCCTGTTGAGTTAGCTTGCAAGGATGAAACTACTGTGTGGGTGGAGAGTAGAAACGTTTGTGAATCAAAAAAGAAGAGAAGTGTCCGCGCACGCTATCCGTTGTATGCAGCTAGTTAATCAACGTATCTGATGACACCAGATGACAACCAGTTGGTTTCTTAATGATTTTAACCTTTGATGTTATTGCAACAGGTGACCTGTGATTGAAACCGGACTCACATTATGGTAGAACATAGGTACTCAGGATAACGGAGTTTTGGGCGTTTGTGATTCTCGCTCGTTCGTTGGAAAAATGTTAACGTGACTAATTTAACAAACCCGCTAAAGTCGGTTGGGGGAGAACCGAGGCTTGAATGTGATATGACATCTAAATTTACTAATGAAAAATGTTTCGCTCGGGTATTCAAAACTTGTATTTACTTTTGCTTAATTCCATAAATTGTACATGTCATTGATTTGCCGGATAACAGGATTGATGAGTAAGTAACTCAAGCTAGTCAGTAAAAATATTAGCCGCAAAAATTTATTCGTTGTTTGACTGGACAAAATTTGGCCAAATGATCCGGTTCTTCAAAGGTTTATAACTTTATTTTTGGTTCAGAATATTTCTGTTATTTACTACTATTTATTATTATTTACCATTATTTTATTTATTGTTATTATTTATTTATTTCTGTCATTTGGAAAAAGTTTTTCTCGCCAAAGAAACTAAATTTCAAACGACTCAAGTTAAAATCATGCCGGGAACATTGCATTATTGTTTTATATGCCTACGCTTGTGCGTTTCTTTGAGGATGATCCGTTTTGATGTGCATGATTTATTAGCATTTCAGTTGTGCTGGATTTTTGGGGGCTCGCGTGGGCTATCTACAGAATGAAGAAAAAGCGAACAAATTATTTTCCACTGGTCAATCAGTTGTCAAAATGGTTGTTCATGCAGACAAGTTTATTAGAGGAACTTTTTTTCACCTCCTGAATATCTAGAGAAAATACTTTGAAATGATCGTAGGTAATGTAACCTGTTCGACGGTGAACATTATTTTTTTGATTTTTTTTATCTTTGCGACAATTCAGCCGGGATTCGGATAATTTCGAAATTTAGTTAAATACTTTATGGCTGAAAGCTTGTACCACTGAAAACCAAGTAGTTGTGTCAAGCAACACCACAGAATTTATTCTGGGGTCCAATAACTATTCTTTATAACTATTCTTGTTTCGGTCACCTGACCGGCCTCAGCAATGGGAGGTGCAAACGGTGTTCTAGCTCATCCATTATATCTGGCCATATTCCGGCAGGAGAGGAACTCAGGCATTCCCTTAGCGACTTGCCGCATCCAATTTTATTTGGTGAACGCAAGCAAGCAAAGAACTACAAAAGTATTCCACAACGTGATAAAATACGGGTGGCTCAAATGCGTGCGTTGGTTGTACACATATTGGCTGGCAATCCGGGTAAAGTGCTTGACGATTTTATTCCTCAAGTGACCCGCCAAACTACACATTACTGCTCTTCCTTGCTAAATGATCTGAGGCATATGCCAATATCAGAGAGTAAATCACCAGGCAGCTAAGTAGTTACAAGCACAGCCACCTTCTGTTTGATGGTGGCGTCTTTCTTTGAGATTTAGCCTGAGAGAATGCATAATAAGTTGAAAAAACAAGGTATCTTTGCTGCCAGAAACATGCAGTTTAATGACTAAAAAAGCATCAACTGACTGCGAATTTCAATAGATATCATTGAGGAACGGAGACCACCGTAGATTATAAAATACGGGTGGCTCAAATGCGTGCGTTGGTTGTACACATATTGGCTGGCAATCCGGGTAAAGTGCTTGACGATTTTATTCCTCAAGTGACCCGCCAAACTACACATTACTGCTCTTCCTTGCTAAATGATCTGTGAGGCATATGCCAAGATCAGAGAGTAAATCACCGGGCAGCTAAGTAGTTACAAGCACAGCCATCTTCTGTTTGATGAGTGGCGTCTTCTTTGAGATTTAGCCTGAGAGAATGCATAATAAGTTGAAAAAACAAGGTATCTTTGCTGCCAGAAACATGCAGTTTAATGACTAAAAAAGCATCAACTGACTGCGAATTTCAATAGATATCATTGAGGAACGGAGACCACCGTAGATTGGCCTCCATGTGATAAGCATTAAAAACGCTCTGCATATTTAATCAATCAAATCAAGTTTTAGGACAAAAATGTCGCCTATAAGGATGGAAGCCAACGGTAACTTCATCAACCTGGTAATAAAGCTGTCATTTTTCCCAAAAAGTGCACCTCGAAAGTACTTCCTTCATAGAGATTGTGAGAATCGGGACTGTCAAATCTAATGGACCAATGTTACCATAAATAAAGCGCATTCTTTGATAATGGGATCTGGCAAAATAGAGCTGCCACAAGCAAATAAAATAATGTCATGAAAACCTTCGTGAAACTGAAGTGCCACGAACAACATATTGGCCTGAACAGTGAAATAAGAGTTCTCCAGCAAACATTAGGCAACTGCATAATATGGTAAATCAAAAATGCACCTGCTTCTTGTTTACTCTTACGTTTATGCCTTTACAGATTACTCAACATATGCATTCCGCGTCAAGAGTGACCGATTACTTTGGTTGGTAGTTGCATTTATGCCCAAAACGTTTGAGACAGTTGAATCGTTGCAGAAGAATGACACTATAAAAAAATTGTGCCCTCATCGAACGAAACCGCTTCTGCGCTGAATAAAATCCTGCTTCAGCTACCAACACACCGACAACCACACTTTAACATCCAATACGATAATCATATTCAAACAAAACATCCTCGTAAAAAGTAAAGAAACGACAGTCGTCCCTTGTAATCGCGAAGCTTTTTCATGGCTACTATAGTTGACTAACTAGGTTTTTACACATTTTCCGTGTGTGAAGATGAAAGAGTTAAGGACCTCTGAATATTGTGAGGGCTGTTTTTTAACACGCAACAATTTGGTTATTTTGCGTTCTTGGACGTTCTTGGATGTCATAATATAATTTCCATCGAAGTTTTGTCATGGTAGATGTCTGCGACTAAAAGTCGTGCTTCCTGTTTGCTGCTTCTAGTCTACACGGTGACGGATTCTGCCTCTCAGATCAAACGTAATTCAAAACTTCTAAAGTTTTCCCTGGATTATTTTCGAGTAGTAGTTGCCATGTGTCACGATTTGGTGGTTGAACTACTCCCAGATGAAAACACCGGACGATTCAATTAGAAGCCATGGCTGATAATGTGCAAACAGTTACCGCGTTTGAAAAGTTCTCCTCTTTCGTTGAAATTAAATATGGGGACACCATTTTCTCTCCAAGTATGGCTCAACAGCAGTGCACATGTTTGGCTGTGCCAAATCAGCGTTCTTCCAATACGCCATTAGTGAAAGTAGAACGTTTTCAAATTGTCACGCCAAAACGAATGACCGCTTTCACGCTAGACCAGTGTGGTTGTTTGCCCAAATCCTCGAACGATGACCCAGTAACGGTCCTGATTGTAACGATCGTTTACTTGCCTGTCAGTACGTCCCAGTCAGGTGGTGCCGCGAGCACTTTAAAACTGCTGTAAACTTTCTTTTTTTTGTTGAAATCGTTCTGTGGGTATTACCTTTTACGTCTACCCAGTTTCAACAGTCGTTTCCTGTCCTCAATCCGCATTAAATCGCTTGATCAGAGTTTCACTTGCAGTAGTGCTCATCTGCAGCGCATATAACTGCCCAGGTTGAGGTCTGAAATCCTGACATCTGACGTGCCAAGAATGTTTCATTAGTCTACAGATAAACATTAATCGTAGTTGAATTACCACGCATGAATGAACGAACGCGTTCAAGCTTGAAGGCCTTACTTAAGGCCCGATTGCGGTGCTTGCTTTCTGATGTTTGCGCAAAGGCTGGTAGGTGGGTTACAAAGTCTCCCCGTCAGCCAATTTGCAGTACTAGTCGCTAGAGTTTGTCATTCCTTACGCAAAAAACTTGTGGCTGCGGAAATTTCTAAAACTTCCCCTGACGAGTTGTGATTAACCAATGAGTTCCTGCAGAGTCTTCATCTCGAATTCCAAACTAACTCCTCACTGGCTCGATGTTGGATGTTGTCCGAAGCCTTCTTGGAGTACTTCTTGGAGACCCTGAGAGTTGGTACCACCAGCCGGGCAGGTTTTGTGTACTGTAGTCGGACAAAAGACTGAATTCAACTCTAACGAGCCCCAATTAACAAAATGAAGAAGAACTTGATGAGGTATCTTTCCAAGGATGCAAGGAAAATCCACCCAAAAAGAAACAAAATGTGCTCTTCATTGCATAAGCCTCCCTAATCTGTTCTACCAACAAAACGCGAGACGTAGCATTTCAGAAAATATCATTCAAACTTTCCTTTAGACCTGTTCAGAGAAACACTAACAAGACTGGTAATTTTTTTGATGAGTTAGGTAAATTAGTTACGAAAATTCCCATCATCAGTCGAGCAAATTTTGTCGCGGCGAGGTGATTGAAATCACGTCGAGGATGGAAGTGCGAGCTATTCAGTTGCACTCATACCCCCAGCGCACTGAAAACCCACCTCAAGTGGTGGTGGAAATGTTTCGCACCAATTCACCTAACGCCATCATTACAGCCCGATTCACCAGCAGTTACAAAATTGACCGTTTTGTTATGCACAGATGAATAACTACTTAAAGCGCACTGACCAGAAGGTCCGTGGTTCGAACCTCAGCCTCCCGACTTCCGCTGTCCAGGCTTGGGCAACCTGGCAGTATACCGACCCCCCGTGCAACCTTCGGGTGGCATTGCAGTTTAGCACCGAGAGAGAGCTTGAGCTGAACGATCTCTCCACGCAACTTGGGGCCCCATCCACTTATTCAGTGAGCAACCGTAGGCTGGTAACAAAAGCCATGGATGTTTCATTTAGCTCAATCGATTTTTAGCGGAAAAACATCGGAAGCGCACTTTTACCACTACCCAGACTTACATGGTGAATGCGGCTCACCAATTATTGAAGCTTGTGGAAAACTCTTCTGGTCCCATCGGGACCCTGATGTAAACGCATCTGATTGAAAGCCTTGTTTCACACTCCACGCCACTCTGACATGATAAACGCAGTAAATAACGATAAATGCCGCAAGACACCAGAATAATGTTTTAACGCTATACGCCATCATGTGTATTTCTGTAGAAAAAGAGAGTTTCTATATGCTGGTCGCTCTCTGAGATGCTTTGCTAAAATGTCCGTAATTCACAAAACATATTTTCTTGACATTTTCATCACCTGAAGGATGGTGGTATATTGCTTGCGACCCTCAAAATATAAAGCCCGAACGAGCCGGCACTGCGTTTCAACATTTGCATAAAAGTCATCCCACCCGACCCGCTTGAGTTTTACGACCGTGAACTTACCAATGGACCTTGCAACAAGCACGCTAAAACTGACATAATTTTATCTATTTCTCCCGGAACATCAGAAAAATTCATCTGAATAAAAACAAAACTCAAACATAATCTAACAAAACCTAAAAATTTGTCAAAATTCCATTGCAAAGAGAACATGCGTAAGTTTGAAACATAAAGATATTGTGAGTTTTATGGGTTTGTTCAAAAAAAGCTTACACATTCATATTTTTCAAACGAGTCATTTTATCCATCTTTATCTTCATTGTTAATTAAATTCTCTGCGTGCAAGTTCAAATATTTCAGTATTTCAGTCGTGACCCCACCTCTGAGCAGCTTGTCAGCCTACACACTCACGAGGAATGAATATCAGAGAACGTCTTGTTGAAAAAATGGCGGTGCGATATTCCGCGATAAAATAGGGGACCACTTGCCGCTTTTCAACTTTGGCAACTAAAAGTTCATGTTTATTGAATGATATATTGCAGCTGTTTTTTTCTAAAATCTGGAAGGTTGGCGGGCTATTTGACTTACCGGATCTTTCGAACAGGCCGAGCAAGCATACCGTGTTTCAAAGTTGGTCCGGTGATCTAGCAGTCAAAATGACACTGAAAGGTTGTCTTGTCAGCGGGCAAGTCAAAAGTTTAATATCCTATTTTTGTTTTTCCCAATTACGTTGGCTTCAAAAACAAAATGAAAGCAAGCGAACATACGGAGTACAACTGCTCTCTTTTATTTATCCAAGCCAAACAAGTCCATTAAGTCTCTCCCACCTCACCCTCCACTGCACACAATTTCTTCCAATCTGAGCGGCGTCTTAAAAATATCGTGACTTTCGATACACATTTTTATATTTCCTGATTTCCGGGAAATATATGCCCCAACAAACCCTCATCTTATTTGATTAAAACCTACAGCCTTACCGAAACGATTGCTTTCCATCGGGTTGAATAAGCACTGGTAGTCTTTACTTGTAACCATTTATTTGGTTACTTAAAGTTTCTTCGAAACATTTTTGGAGCGTTTTCCCAAACGACTCCCAGGAATTCAGTTGTTTCTTTAGCGCCGACAAGCCAATTTAAAAGGTGAGCACGTGGTTTAATTTCCGCCATTCGGGGGCCAGTGGCGTTTCATCCGGGTTAACGCGAGTTAAGGGCATTGCTACTTAGCTGCCCATGGCTGTATGATTCGCTCACGATCCAGGGTAACGCGCACTAGTGGTGACGCCCAACAAGTAAGAAACAGCGTGACGATGCTCATCAACGTCCTGGGATGAACAAATTCTCAAAAATAAATTTCAGTTCCAATCTCCAAATCGCATCAATTTTCAACGTCGCCCTTCCTCACGATGTTATATACACGCACTTAATGGGCAGTGCGATTCAATAATCGTCGAAAAATCCACCCGAAAATTGCAATGACCTTTGCAGAAGCACGTGACATAATATCCTAATTTTGCTCTCGCTATAGCAAAAACCGGCAATCTGACAACCTAACAAAATGCGACTAAAATAAATTCTTTTTTTTCTGAAATAGGGAAGTAACACCTAGGGTCAGCTGAATCGGCAAACTTTGCAATACGGTTTTACATCATGGCTCAATGCAAAATTTTCCGTGTCAAAAATTTCAAACCTAATCGTGTCACACATTACTTTTTTACAAAATCGGCTTCCGGAATGGCGGTTCCTAGCTGGGTCGTCTGGCAATATATTAAGTCCAATGAGCAGTGCGACAAATATTCATACCCGCTTCAAGTGTTCCTGCATGACTACACTCAACAAATATTTTGTCAGCAGTTCAAAAGTGCTTCATATTCGAGTCTCATTAAACAACTTGCTTGTACAGACGTCTTCATTTTTTCTCTTCACATGTTTTTCATTGCCTTTCTATGCTGGCATGATACAGCCTACAAAAAAGAAGTCAGAATTACGCTTTGCACTTTTGTACATGTTTCAATTCCGTTAAAAAATTCATCCTACTTTCCGGAAGCACACTCCTTTGTAAATCAGTTCGGTTTTCACGACAGACTCAAATTAATCCATTGTTTATGATATTCTGCAACTTAATGTGCTGCCCACCGGTCGCGTCACGTTTTAGTTGGCACAATATTCAAGATATCAGTGCATTTTTGATTCAAGTAGAATTTAAGGTTGGCCAAAACCCAGATGAGCCCCAAGAAGAGCAAAACCGGTTGTGGGCTGTCAAAGAGTATTCAGCAATCTAATGCGTAGTTTCCTCTATGACAATAGACTGCGATATCTCAAATAGGGTGCCAGCCGAAACATGAGGCGGCCTGTGTGCAGCACATTCAGCTGTAGAATATCATAAACGACAGACACATTTGAGTCTCTCGTGAAAACCAAATTGATTTACAAATGAGTGCGTTTCTCGAAACAGTCCAATTTGGGTTCAAGTAGAACATCAGGTTGACGGAAACTCGGAGACTGCGCCTACCTGATGAGCCCCAAGAAACCTGAAACCAGTCGTGGGCTTTTAAAGAGTTTCCAGTAACCTTGTGGATAGTTTTCTCTATGAAAACAATCTATTTTCTTCATGCTGGCTCCGTTCTGATGACTGCTTATACAATTGACTATTTCTATCTTCAATTCTTTCCATAATATTTTTCGAGAATTAAAAAAGCGCGCAATATGCTTTATTTCTTTTCTGGAATTGTTCATTTCTCTTCATACAATAGGAGGAAAACAAGCTTAACTTTTGACGACTTGCAGGTCTGGTTGCTATCCTGAGTAAGCGGTTGACATCACTAGTTATTTCCTGTTGGACTTTTATTAAAGTAATTTTTTGAGGATCATTCGATAACCTAGCTCACATCTGATGAGGTGTACGGAGTTTCAGGAGTAGATGCTAGGTTTTTCAAGCAAACAGTGAGGAACAAATCAATAAAATACCATTCTACGATTGGTAAAACCTCATATATGCTATTCACCCTCTTAGGTCCGTTAACATTCCTTTGTGAAGGTTTTACGGAACGCTTGGATCGAGCACCTCGATCTTCTAGATGTTGAAGCGTCACATTCCACAATCTGTTTTTCAAAGGACTGTTTTTTATTAGTTTAACCTCTTTGATTCCCTTGGTAGATTTATAAGCCTACAAGATCAGGACATCTGTCAGGATTCAAAGCTCATGATAAGGCCAATGTAGCCAGTGTATCCTCAATTAGTTTTCTGAGTTACATTCTTGGAGAAAAAGAATTAACTTCAACCAGGAATGACGTTTTATCTTTCCCCTTAAAAAACACTCACGTTAATGTATAAAAGACTTTTTGCACTATAGATTTCTGGTTACTGCAAGTTACCTGTCTTCGAACTTCGTTTATTTTAACTACCCTCCTGGTTAGGAGATCAAGGTGAAAACATAATTTTATTCGGTTATTTTATATTTTACCTTATTCACCGATGAAAAAATATTGCTATGTAAATAGCCTGAGCATTTTACCCTAAATGCGAGAATTTAATGATATTTGCAAAAATCGGGAATCATCCTCGAGTTATGTGCGGTAAAACCTGCCAACAACACAGATGGGAAAACGACCTCAATGAACGCCTCAAAAATTCAGCTCGAATAAACAATAACAAAAGAATAAATTAGTAAATCAGTTATTATTTATCATTTTACAGGTATTCTTTCGCACAAAAAGTCGCTTATCTCAGAATTCAGAAACTAGAGAAATTAAGGAATGAAAGATACTAAAATGGGGAGTGCAAAATTGTCGTCATATCCATCTGTGTT